AACTAAGAGGTGTGCCTCTCCAACGCCTGCGGTTTTGTTCCCCGTCGGCGAATCGTTTGAATGCGGCTGTCATGGTCTCGGCCATTCGACAGAGCAACTCTTCTGCGTTGAGTGTGGATGTGGTGGGCCGCGAGGACCCGGAGTTCAAATCTCGCTCGGAGCGAGTACCATCGTGAGGGTTAAACAAGTTGTTTTGTGTGGATTCGTGATTCGTCTCTTCGAATCGTGAGCTATTGTTCGGGGCTCGGCGTGAACTGTCGTCTTCGTAGAACGCACCGTCGTTGCTCAATTCGAAACTGTGGTGAAACGCCTGTTGTGTCGGCGGATTGTGTAAATCGGCTAATGACATCGTTCTACGACGGATTTGTGCCTCTATCGGCTCGTGTTCAGCTCGAAAGGCCCCACGTTGGGCGCCATGTCGTCGTACCTCATCTCCCGTTGCTTCACTTACCATTTGGTTGCGGATCTCAGGGTTTCTGGACATATATGCTTCTCGCGCTATCGCGCTGGACTCTGCTAGAGATGTAGCTAACCTGGTAGGATTGCGTTTAGGCATGGCTAGGGGAGAGGACGCGATCTAATTTTGTAACAACTTGTCTTTCACTTAGATAGGATGTATGAGAGGTTTGACTCTAGCAAAGGGAATTTGGATTAGAATATGAGATATAGGATCGGTATTGGAAAGATAGGTGAAAAGTGACTTTAGGCACCAATATGTCCCACCATCTCTGATATTTGAGCTCAGGCGACTATTAGAGCCGTTAATTAGGTAGTTTGTAATTGTAATTCTTATAATTATATATATCTAGAGGTAAAACACTACGCTCATATAGTTCTAATAACTATAGGGGCGGTTTGATGCACTTCACTAGAGCTTATATCTAACACTTATGATATGGCTGGCTAATGGCCCGTGATTTGAGTCTGCCGCGGGTCAGAAATAAATGCCCGGGCGACGTTTTATCTTTCTTTTATAGATAAGAGGTAGGTTAGGTTATATATATATATTTATTAAACATAAATCTGACTCTAACAATGGTTATAATGGCTTTAATGTCGCAACTGAAATTTGGAGCGTCCCACAACAGAGACTGGCCGGATACGTCGATCCGGTTATATAACTGCAATTGTCCGCAGCTGACGATCCATCGCGATAGGGGATTCGCGGCCTTGATCCGCGGCTGATTCCCGGTTTTTTATGCGATTCTTCTTCCTCTTCTTGACCGGTGCTCCCCTGCAAGGCCGGGGACCATTGGAAAGTTGGTAGATTTCGTGACTCTCTGGAAGGTGGCTGCTGGCTCGTTGTCGGCTTCCCATCGGTCGTCCTCGATGTGGCCCATCTCGTCTCCAACACCAGGGGGCGCTTTTTCGACGATTTGCGGCGTCTCGCCGGTGGATTGGAAACATCGGCGATTTCTGCAATTCGGCTCGGCTCGGCTCAACTGCGGCTCTGCGATGCGGGAAATCTGAAACATAGTCGGTTTTGTTTGTTTCCGTGGATACTCTTTCATCTTGACTCGAGGCGGCCGGATGGCGGCTTGATTCGAAACCTTGTCGATTTTTTCTCTCTTCGCTCTGGTAGTGATATCGTCCTCGAGAATGGAAACATTGTGCATATTAATGCTTTTGCTTTGATTTGTGATACTGGATATCGGACTTAGGGTGTTGTCCTGGATTTTGAGGTTTGCTCAAACGCTCCTCTGACAGCGACTTCGGGCTCGGGATTAGAAACATCGTGGAATATGTTCATGTTCTGCATAGAGAGCTTGCACTGGAGCGCTGTTCCGGGCGTTGGAATTTGGATTCGAAAGATAGTCGAAATCTGAAGTTCGCTCACATTATACGACACCTCCCCCCTTTCGTCGAGTGGACTTTGGGTTTCGACGACTTGAATTTGGTCGAGTGATTGACTGTTGATGATTTGGTTATACGACAGCCGTTGTAACCGTGCACATGCGTATAACTCATTGCCGGCCCTTCCGGCATCTTCATCCGGGTTTAATTTTCCGAGGGTCCGGTCGGACGGCCGTCTAACCGGGTCCTCCAGATTCCCCGTGCCTGTAAATGCCCCTTCGAGGGACTCGGTGGAGGTCAATGACTCGTGGAGGCGGTCCTCTTCTAATTCGAACGCGGGTCACACCGCGCATGCCTCCCTTTGTTCTCTTGATGTCATTTTTTCCGCAACAGATATTACAGATGCATGCAATACAATGTATAAAACAAACAAAGAAGTATTGATTTGGAAAGGTAAGTAAGTAAGTAAGTAAGTAAGTAAGTAAGTAAGTAAGTAAGTAAGTAAGTAAGTTTATTCAGGTGCAAGTAACAAATAAAATATTAATACAGGAATAAATTTCGATTATAAAACAAAGTAATTAAACATAAGTAGCATGAATCGCACCTAATTGAAACTTGTGTTGTGCGATTCACTCCACTATACAGGGTGTCCCGAAATTCGTGCAACAAAATTTGGTCATAGATTCTTAAGACTAATTTAGGGGACCCGTATTTTTTCTGTTTGTCAAGTGGCCCCCTCTTTCGGAGTTACAGCCCCCTGAAATCTGCCCTTAAGAAGTATTTTTTATATCTTAAAACCATGTACGAGAATCAGTAAATTTGGTACACAGGGGTTTTATGACATGTGGAATCTTACAGTGCTACGCTTTTTGGCGAGAAACCCCCTTAAGACACTTTCGTGGGCCCCCTTGTCTTTGGAACCTGAAAAATTTGGTCGCAAATTTGATATTTTTAAAATTATTAGTTAGCTGGAAAGCCATTGAATTTAGAAACTTTTTTGTCTCTTAATATTTGTTTCGTAAAACGCAATGTTTTTGAGGAAAATGGCGATTCACGATATGCATTTGATCACATTTTGACATTTTTCTCGAAAACATTGCGTTTTACGAAAAAAGTATAAAGGGGCAAAAAGTTTCTAAATTTAATGGTTTTCTAGTGGTCTGATAATTTTTAAGAAATTTAAATATGCGACCAAATTTTTTTGGCTCCAAAGACAAGGGGGCCCACGAAAAATTGTCTTAAGGGGGTTCCCTGCCAAAAAACGTAGCACCATCAGATTCCACATGTCATAAAACCCCTGTGTACCAAATTTAGTAATTCTCGTACAACAGGGTTCTGAGATATAAAAAAAAGATTGTTCTTAGGGGCGGACTTCAGGGGGCTGTAACTCCGAAAGAGGGGGCCACTTGGCAAAAATAAAAAATACGGGTCCCCTAAATCTGTCTTAAGAATCTGTGACCAAATTTTATTGCATGAATTTCGGGACACCCTGTACAACAAGAAAGAAAAATAAAAGACAAAAAAATCAATGTTTAGACTATAAAAACAGTAATAAAATATTATTTTACGTAAAATATAAGGGGGGACGCAGAAGTGTGCGCTTAAAGCCTATACTAACCAAAAATGGGTTCAAATAAAGCGTAGTATTCAATTATAAATGACTTTAGTTCTCTCTTTAAAACCGACTTTTTTGAAATGCTTTTTATTCTTTTAGGCAGTATATTAAATAGTTTAGGACCCAAATAAGATAAGAATTTTTGAGAGTGACTCTTTTTACAACGGGGGATGACTGTATTAATATTGGCCAAAGAACGAGTGTTATGGGGATGGGAAATATAAGGAATACCATACTAAATACTCGTATTAAACATTGATAAACAAACAATTCTCTAAGTTTAAAGACATTGGCTTCTTTATACAAAGTTTCCGTTGAATAAATCTTATTTTTTTAAACATAATTTTCAATATACTGTTTTGTACATTTAAACTATGAATCAATGACTTACATAAACCACCCCATACAGTTATACAATATCTTAAAACAGACACTGCTAGCGCATCATAAACAATAAATATGTTTTCTATCCAGAATGTCCCTTAATTGGTAAAATTTGTAATTGAGTTTTCTTAATTTTTTTACAGTGTATTCAACATGCTCAGCCCTTCGTAGAAATTGATCTATCATTATTCCTAAATACTTTAGAGAATTTACTTTTTTTATATTAGGACATGGACAATTTAAGAGGTTTGTACAAGAATGTTTGTGAATTTTAATAATATCAATAGAAGGCTGCTCAGTTATTGATGAAGTAAAAGCAATAAATCTAGTCTTCTCCACGTTAAGACTAAGGAGGCTGCAACTCAACCAATTAGAAAATATTTTAAGTTCTGTTTCAGCTTTGTGGTATATCTCAGGCCAATAATCACCAATAAACAATATTGCAGTGTCGTCTGCATATGAAATAACTGTAGCAGTGGTATCTGATAATTTAGAGATATTATTTATATAAACTAGAAACAAAATAGGTCCCAAGACTGTCCCCTGAGGTACGCCCATGGTAATCGGTAATGAGTTAGTAGGGTAAGTTGGAGAATTCTAATCCACCCCCCCACCCCATTTTACCCCCCCCCACCACTTTTTTTGGTCCAGCTAATCAGAAGACGGAGAGTTCTAATCCGCCCCTCCCACTACTTTTCTCCCACCACTTGGTCCCGCCTCTTTTTGGCCCAGCCTATAAGAAGACGGAGAGTTCTAATCCGCCCCTCCCACTNGGAGCCTGTGCGATCCCAGCGAAGCATCTTCGACGACTACCAGGCCTAGTCCAGGTCCACTAGGCCTCCACCAGGTCCAATCCAGGTCCACCAGGTCCACTACGTCCACGCTAGGCCTACTCCAGGTCTACTACGTCCACTCTAGGTCCACAAGGGTCCACCAAGCCTCCACCAGGCGTACTCCAGGTCCACCAGGTCCGCACCAGGTCTGCTCCAGGTCCTCCAGGCCCATACTAGGTCCGCTCCTGGTCCACCAGGTCCACCCTAGGTCTGAAGACCATTTTTGAAAAAATAAATCCAACAAAAAAAAATAAAAAGTAAGATAAAAAAAATAAAATAAAATAAATCCGACAAAAAAAATAAAAATAGATAAAATAAAATAAACAAATAAATAAAAAAAATAAAACTAAAAATTTTTTTTAAAACCATCCGACATGGAGCCATCACCGTGCCTACCTGGTACCCCACCACAAGTGCCTTTGAGGACTTCCCTGCTGGACAGCGAGGTATTCTTCCATAATTACCAGGATCAAGCTTAACCGAGTCCCACTACCCGTCCGACCCCAAGCCAACCTGCTGCAGGTCCGAGCCAGACCTCAGCCAGGGCTCCAGCCCAGCCACCGAGGCAGTGAGCCTCCCAGATCCAGGTCCGATTGTCGAATCGCCTGGATGTCGAAGCCCTTGTCGGCGACCTCAACCACATTTCTACGGAGGTCGTCCCAGCCAATGCCGAATTGCCACGACTGACCGTCTACCTGGAAGGTCAGAGAACCTCCGCCCAGCACCACCGGGCAATCCAATCAATGATGACGTCTCCTCGGACGAGGAAGACGAGATGCCACCACCGGAAGCCGCAGAAGCCGAGGACCAAGGTCTGGATGACCTACACCCCGGCCGGCCAATAGAGCCAGCGGCACCCCAAGTCGGGGCTCAAGACCAGGACGGTCTCCACCTCGGTCGGCTAATAAAACCAACCAGCCAACCAGGACGGCAACCTACGCACCATGGACGGGTCCAACGTCTGGACGACGACCGCCCTCCATGTCCACTGATAGCCTACCCTGAGGCGACTCCAGGCCCTAGCCATGTTAGGCCACATGCATATATCAAACCCCCGAGCCAGCCACCACCCGCTAATAAAACCAACCAGTCAACCGGGACGGCAACCTACGGACCATGGACGGGTCCAACGTCTGGACGACGACCGCCCTCCATGTCCACGGATAGCCTACCCTGAGGCGACACCAGGCCCTAGCCATGCTAGGCCACATGCAGAGAACAAACCCCCAAGCCAGCCACCACCCGCTGTAGGCGGTCCAACCAAGCGACCGGCCCAGCATTTTCCCGGACACCTTGATATAAGGCGCAAGCGACGTCCATTGAGGATGGTCGCTATTTCTCCACCGCCCACCAAGAGGACTCAGCAGCCACGCCCCCATGAGAGGCCAGGGATGTCGGCCAACCCCCAGCAGAGCCAACTAGCCGCCAGTCGGACTACCGGAGCAGCCAGCGTTGGACAGCCCCCCCCCCAGTGCCAAAGACACTCAAACATAAACTAACCTATTTTTCAGTACCAACTGTTTCATATATATTATTCTATATACTGTATTTTGTCATGTATTTAACCATTTTTTCTTGATAGAATAAAAACAAAACACCAACATTCAGAAATGCTTTTCCGAAACCCCGGGGGTGTAACGGGACGCAAGAAAAATCCAACATTGCGCCCCGTGATTTCCTGCCAGGGGCCTTTTTGAACGGCAGGCTACGGCGCACTCGACGTCCAGTCCGCAGTCCGACCGCTATTCATTAAATAACCGCCGTGTCGTGGAATATGATCGTTTGTATCGGCCATATCGACATTGACATGGGCCCTCGGTGGGGACATCGGAAGTTCGAATCGAGCTCCACGTTGGACACCATGTCGAGGAATATGATCGATGGGATCGGTAACGACGGCATGGGCCCTCGGTGGAGACCTCGGAAGTTCGAATCGAGCTCCACGTTGGGCGCCATGTCGTGATATATGACCGTTTATGCCTAATGTTTGAGAATTGTGCGGGGAATTAGCAACATGAGCTCGCCGCGAAGACGTCGAAGCTGGACTTCGAGCCCCACGTCGAGCGCCATGTCGTGGAATATGATCTGAATGTTGTGTTTGGTCGGCATGGGTCCTCAGTGGAGGCATCGGGAGTTCTAATCGAGCTCCACGTTGGAAACCATGTCGCAACCTGTGATCTGGGATGTTAGTTCCCTTGACCGGGTTCCGCGGCAGGAACGCACGGAGTTCACGGGGATCGTCGCTATCGACGCCCGGTCGCACTATATTCTCTGACGATTGGAATCTGTGGTGGATATGACCTACAGACGTGGTGTCTAGGACACGAGCTCGCGGGGGAGATCTCGACGAAGAAG